GAGTTACAGTCAACATATATTAAATATACACTTTCTTGATTGGGGTCATAGTGTTCGCCCATATATATATTATTGGCTGTAGCGTACCGTTTGGATATCATACTGACTCCTCCTCTAATTGCATTTTCGATAAATAAATGCATGTCAATATCCTTAAACAATTGTAATTTTATATTAGTCATTCTAAGACAGGCCTCCCATGTTAGTCCAGGGAGTGAATAAATATGTACGGGGTCAAGTTTGTAATCCTTTAAACATAGGTCTCTAAATGTCTCGAACGCATCAGCTAGTAGCAATACATCTGTTTTAAGATATAAATCATGATATTCTTGTAAATTATTTATATTAAAAAGGGTCCATACATTTTTAGCATGTTCATATTCATTGGGAGAGATATGTTCTTTAGTTATAGAACTGTAAAATGTTTCAATTGGGGGTAGAGACTCTGCGAACTTATCTGGTCCCGTCATATATTCATAGGGATATACACCTTTACGTTGTAGTAGTGGATTTTGTATGAATCTAAATGTGTTTAAATTGAAAGCCAATTTATACAATGGAAGGGACAGAAAGTTGTATGAATCTAAAAATACTAAATCGTCTACAGAGAATGATATATATTTTTCCATATCTTTAGCTATACAATTTAATTTACGTTTATTAAACTTTCCCAAATATTGCATTATTAAATGTCCATCGTAATTTTTCAAGTTATGGAAGAATACTGGGATTTTCTTTGTTACTTTATAGTTTAAATTACAATCATTGTGGGCAGCTCCACGGTATTGACCAGAAGAATGGCAATGATCTTTCACCCTATCAAAATATAGGGGCTTTTCGCAAATGTGACAGTGTGTTGAGTTTTGGAAAGATACCTCTTGCTCAGGAGTCATTACTAGGGGAATATATATTGCCATTTGATTTTTAATATAATCGTAAGTCTGAAATAATATTTAAAAAAACACATCCATAACTTTTGTGCCACTGTACAACTCTTCAGAAATGATTTTTGAATCTTTTACTACGACGAATGCAAATCCCGATGGAGTGTGTATATTAGAATTTACGAAACATTCAAAATCTGCATAAATTGCATATGGGGCTTTTAGTTGATATTTGTGATTTTTAAATTGTAATGTATCTTGTTTCGACATTTCCACTCGTTGGGCATCAAAGTTTTTACAATATGTTATATGACGTTCTAATTTATCACTGGTATAAAAATGTTGCAAACACAACTTGCAAAAATGCTTCTTATTGTTATTTTTTGTAGAGTGGAGCATTGACCTATCGAAATCACGAATTAAACAATAATGTGATTTACGACCTTCTTGTAATAATAATAAATCTACATGAGTATTACTATTTAGTTTGGTTGTTTTTAATGGATATATACATTTCTGGTCTTCAACTCCAAATACATTGACACTTATATTATTCTGTCTTTCGAATTTATCTATATCAGATATTTTTACAGGATATTTTATATTTGTCATATTTAACCGTGTTGCATAGGGTGTATAGTTAGAGACTCTGTTAGCACTTTCATTTTTTTTCATTCCTTGGATATAAAGCTGCTAAAATTGACCAAAGGAAGCATTTATTGTCAAAATTTCTTATATTTAGAACTGCTATTGTCAATTTAATACTTTTTGGTGTGGGGATATATGACTTTGGAGTTAGGGGCTTATACTTGTAAACATGTAACTGCCAATATTTAGTATGGTCATAAATCCATCCACTGCCTTGGGCTTGATATTTGTGCATGGATGCATCAATCTTTAAAAGTGCATTTTCAATTTGAGGCTTTAAATCTCTCTTCTCAATAGTTAAGGTAGTAAGGCTTCTAAAATCCGCTATACATTCTTTTTCATTAACTAATTTTCCATTTTGATCCGTTGAATATTTTATAAATTTGATTCTCCTTACCAAAGTCCATTTTATTGGCAGAGAACAAGACTTAAGAGTATTTTCAAGTTCAACTCTAATCGACTCACCAACAAATTTAATCATTGTGTATGGACAATTATTGCAAGAATTGATATGTCTTCTAAAATGACCAACAACATTTTTCTTACAAAAATTACAAGCCTTGTGACTTTGTAATATATGTGACTTTAGAGCCATGTGGCTATCACAGATTGAATCACAAACCTTGCACAGTTTCACATTCATTTGATGCATTACCTTATAGTGGCGAATCAGGTTGCTTTTGGTGGAGAGCGACACGGAGCAGTGTTGACAGGTCGGCATTGCGCTCGAGAATGAAATATCACCCGGATGCCACCTCTATATATAGATTTTTCGAAAATTTCAAAATTTTAGAAATTTTAAAATTTTAGAAATTACTTCAACGGGAGGTTGCCCACACAGCACTCGATCTAAAGCTACTACAGGAACAAGAAGCAAGACCCATGGGAGCAACATTTCACCACATCACCGCCACTAGAGGCAAGAAGCATGAGCCCGGAGCATGCCCGCGCCATGAGCCGGGAGCGCGCACGAGTTCGCGTGCAAACCTCGCACTGTCAAGTTGATGATTTTGAGAATATACATGTGAATGGATGTGGATTTGCAATTTTAATAGTGTTATACAATGGTTTTGAACATTTACATAGGCTTGTATAGGCAAAGATCAGGGTCTTAAAAAAAGTGGCCAAAAATAATCCCCATAAGAATAACATGGGAAAAACGTGCCCCAAGTGAGGTAAAACCACTAGTTTGCCTCTACTCTACATTTACACTTGTAAGGGTCAATAAATGTAAGAAATAGCTTTTTTAGCTTAATATCGAATATATTTATGGGGAATAAGTAAGAAATAAGGTTTGACAGTTATATAGGGATATTTAGGCAAAGATCAGGATTTTTTGTTTTAGTGGCCAAAAAATGATCCCACATTATTTCTTATGGGAAAACGTGCCCCAAGTGCCGTCATATTCTTCTATTGTCACTACTATTCTCAAAATATTTGATGATGTATTAAACGTTTTTCAAAAGACATCGCATCTTTTTTCACACCCTTATAGCTTAGGTCTACCTAAAAGTTTAGTTAGCTTTACCTTTAAAAAGGTATGCTCATGATAAAGATTCACACCAGTTTATGAAAAATTTCGTGTGTAGAAAATTAATTTCAGATTTTAGTATAAGAGGGGGCGCGCGTACAGATTAACATCCCATACACTCTAAAACAACTAAAACATGACCAGTAATCCCCTGTCGTGCTCACCCAAGATCACAAAAACTGTCGCATTACGCGCACGCCACCATCGGCGACAGTACCGTTATTAACAAACACGGCCTCCTATTGGCTAGGCGGTAGGGCTTATACTTATGGAAGGGGGAAATACACCTTAATGCTTGTATTACAATAGAATTGACGTGGCTTGTCAAATAATCGTCTTTGATTGGCTGTAGCTATATTCCGGCTTCCACTACTAACGGCACAGGAAACCTACCAAAAAACAATTGAAAAGAATGGCTGCACCTAAATTACGTGAACCTGCAAGTTCATATTTCAGCCCATTACCGATTCCAGCACCAAATTTCAAGGACCCGCAATCGCTGAAGAAAATCGGCAGATCGGACGCAGATATTCCTCTGCCAGATTTGCTCCGCAGGCCATGATAATTGTTTTAAGAAAACGTCAGCGATTTTTGAAAGGTAACAATACAATTTGTTTAAATTTTTTCAAGAAATAGATAATTTCTTAACTAGGATGATCTCAACATGATGATCTTAGGGTTTAAAACCCTTTCTTTCCCAATGATCTAAATTTGAATCACGATTTTTGAAAGAGCCTGTTGATTCCACTGTTTCCCAATGATCTAAATGTAAGTCATAATTGAGTAGAGAATTTTGTCTTCATAAGGTTGGCATCACTGAAGTCATCTGTTAGTTGGAACTTTTTTTTTCTAAATACATCAGATTTGGAGGGAAGTCACCCCTGTGAGGCATGTGTCAGATCACAAACTTTCACCAATTTTTTTAGGTAAGTTATTTTATTTATTCAGTAATAATAAAAATCATATAGTGTAGGTTATAGTTTTAGCATGTTGTAGAATTAATTTCAAGCAGATTATACAAAACCTAACCTACTGGTGATCGAAAATAATCATGATCTAAAATTGAATCATCAGGACGCTGAGGACCTGGGTCTTGACTATGGATGTCATGAGAACTAAAGTAATGTAAAATGCTTTTTAAACAAGATTATAGTATCTTTAGCCAATAATTAGTGAATTTATGAAAATAAATATAATATTTAGTGTGTAACTGTTGTAATAAAACTATGATTCCGTTACATATTATTTTTCCCATGTAAAAAACCGACGGAATTCTATCAAGCGATTTGGTTGACATAGACTAAAACAGTTTTAGTTATTTTTTATTAATAATTTATTTTTTTGCAGGACATGGAGAAACACAGGATCAGTGGATCAGAAATCGACCGTCTGTTAAGAGGGGATATCTCCGACATTGAAGATCTTGAGGAAGTTGACGAAGAAGTTGATGAGTATGCTGCTATCTCAGAAGACGTATTACAGTATAAACTGGCTGAACTTGAGAGACTTTTAGAAGAATGTGAAGTAGATTTAAGCCAGGTGAGCGACAACGAATTCTTAATCGACCCTGATGGTATCCTAGATCCTGTAGTTGAACCTGAAACAACTCCCGATTGTCAGCCCGCTGCTGCTGACCCTCAGCCTCCTGATTTAGAAGTAGACCAACAGCCTTTAGTCATTGATGAATACGAGAATGAAAATAAACCATTATTTGACCGGCTTACAAAAAAAGAACAAAAAGCATGGCGAAAAAAAGAGATATTAAGCGTTGGAAAAAACTAACTAACAATGCAGCGTTTCCACAGTTGGAAGCTGATATCGACATGCAAACTCCTCGTGATCATGTTTTATTACCGAGGGAATATTTCAGTATGCTTATTGATGATGATATTATATTGAATTTAGTAGAGCAAACCAATCTGTACTCTATGCAAAAAATGGGGAACAGTATTGGTGTATCTAGGTCAGAAATGGAGCAGTACCTAGGCATCCATATGATATCGTCCATCGTAAAAATGCCCTCCTACCGTATGTATTGGGGGGAAGGCACTAGATATGGTCCTATTGCTGAGTCCATGTCCCGAAATCGATTTGAAACAATAAGAGCATATATTCATGTAAATGATAATACCAATCTTCCAGATGGTAATGATCCGGCCCATGACAAGTTGTTCAAAATCCGGCCCCTAATTGATGCTGTCAGGGATAACATGAAAAAAGTCCCTTTGGATTCAAAGGTCTCAATTGATGAATTGATCATCCCTTTCAAGGGAATATCTCATATGAAGCAGTACAACCCAAAAAAACCCCACAAGTGGGGAATCAAAGTGTTTGCACTTGCATCGAAATGTGGCATAATTCATGATTATGAAATATATGTAGGCAAGGGTACAGTGACAGAAACCAAACTTGGCATCTGTGGTGACATTGTTGTTCGACTGGTAGACATTGTACCAAAGGACAAGAACTATAAGTTATTTATTGACAACTGGTTCAACTCTCATCGACTTCTCTGCCATCTAAAAGAGGTAGGACTCTTAGCAGTAGGGACAATTCGTCCTGATAGGATTGGACGTTGTCCTTTCACAAAGGATAAAGACCTTCTCGAGGAGGGACGAGGAAGTATGGATGTGAAATTGGACACCGAGAACAACATTATCGCTTGCAAGTGGGCTGATAACAAAACTGTGTGCCTTGCATCAACATACGTGGGTGCAGAACCTGTCGATGAAGTCATGAGATGGTCTACGGCACAAAAACAGAGAGTTGCTGTCCAGCGCCCAGCCATTGTGAGAGAATATAATGAAGCTATGGGGGGCGTGGATCTACATGACATGTTGGTGGAATTGTACCGAATCGACATAAAAGTTAAACGATACTACATGAGGATAGTCATGCATTTACTGGACATGAGTGTCGTAAATGCGTGGCTAGTCCATCGGAGGGATTTATCCCTCCTTGAGGCCAATAGCAAGCCAATGCCTCTGATAAAATTCAAAAGCCAACTAGCTTGTTCACTTCTTCAACCGAAACAAGTCAAAAAGAGAGGTCGTCCCAGCATCGCTGAGCCACCAACCCGCAAAAAAAGGAGCTATTCAATGCCTGCAAGACCTGCGGATGAAATCAGACTGGACAACACTGAACACTGGCCCATTCCTGTAGCTGAGCGCAAGAGGTGCAAGAATTGCATTGACAAATACTGTCAAATACAATGTTCAAAATGCGATGTATTTCTATGTTTGACTCAGAATAGGAACTGTTTTGTGGATTTCCACCGTGCGTAAACTGTCTATGACATTTAGAACAGGCTGTATATTACAATATACATTTTCATTATCACATTTAAATGTTGCCATTGTTCTTGTAAAACTTATGTTTCGTTAGACTTGTAACATTTTGTGAAAAGTGCTTATTTGGCCCTACAATTTTATATACGTTATAACATTTATAATTTTAACGTAAAATGATGTATACTGTACTCTTTTAATACCTTTTTACCTTATGTCTTACTTTTTTTATGTAATAACTTGGATTTGTCTTACAAATTCTTAAAAATAAAGGGATTTTACAAGATTATATAATTATTATTTCCTACTACCTTACCGTGTCATTTCATGTCACAGTTTCCTGATGATCTAAATTTGGGCCATGTTTGTAAAATTTATATAAAAACATATAATAGGTGAAGAAAGTTTTTTTTCCTGCTTATTTACATCAAATTAACCTAAAAAAACTAAAAAAGATTTTTTTTGACAGTTACAAATACTTTTGGGAAAGAAAGGGTTTTAACATGTTTATTTGTGCCATAGCACACCAGTATTAAAATCTGGTATTCATATTTTAAGGTTGGAATAAGACAAACACTGAGTTAAGACAAAACAAGCCTCCATTACCAAAAAGATTTGGATGACGTCAGAATTTATTTCACATATCTTTATCCGCAGTAAAACTACTAACCGTTAGGGAAACCATCAATACAAAATATAATAATTCATCATTGTGATATAATTAATCGTAGAACAGCAGATTAAACTTTAAAATGTTCTCCTGTAAAATCTTGGGTTTGTGACTCTGTGCATACATCCTCTGAACCCTACAAATATATAATAACAGTACTGTAATGTCCTAAGAATCTATTTAGTACTTGGCTGTTCCTTTTCCTGAGTTTTTCTATGAGCTTACAATGTAATCAGATTTATTTTATTTTTGCACATAAATCGATTGGTCTTTTTTTATTTTAACTTTTACCGATCAGTTTTTGACATCAAATAGAATGCGTTCCTTAAGCGCAACAAACGTAAACGTAGTTCAACTCCAAAGAGTAAAAACGTTTCATGATTTAATAAATCTACATGCAGGAGTTTAATAATATCATCATGTTGTCTTAGTTTAACTTCTATATTTAAATTAAAATTTATTTTAATTTAGTTGTTTCTAAAAACAACTAAAGAGATTAGATTGACTCAAAATCAAACCAGACTAACGTCAATTGAAGTGATAAGTGTTTTTGTATTCTTTTGGATATGTGTTGTTTGATCTCTATATTATTTTAGTTTGTCAATAAATTACCTTATTTCCCCTAATGTTTGATTGGCTTAACGTGAAGCGACATAACATATAAACACTACACCAATCTCCATCATTCTCGAGACAATAAGGAGAGTTGAATATAAAAATAAGTTAGGGGTTGCATTTAAAATGTTAGAGAGTTGCCTAGCAGTTTTCGACATAGTCTCGTGTATGGTGAGACGAACAAAATTAAGATATTTTAAATGGCTGAATACTCGAAATGAAGTATGATTAAATGGTTAGACAATCAGTATTCCTTACCAGTGAATAAAGTTCGTAGAATTTTAAAACGAGACAAATATTAAAATATCAAAATGAAGGAGTGTAAAGGCTGCGAAAGGAGAACCTCAACTCCTCTCGGTTTTATGGTGCAAGTTTACGACTATAGCTTAACAACGCGTCAGCCGCTTTGGGGAGTTCTCATTCAGTTCTAAAGATTCAAAAATATTTTTTTTACGAGATAATAAAAAATGTAAGTGGTTCTACAAATATGCTCAACTAAGGATTGGTATTTTTGTTTGTCAAGATTAGCTTTAATTATATGTCATGTATACATAATTGATTACTTATATCACCGGTATATATACAGGGTGTTTAGTTAAAGAATGCCGGGATTTTTAAACGGTCGTTGATCGGGGACTATTCAAGATAATTAAATGATTTAAAGTCAAATTGAAGGGAAAAGAACAAAGTCTGTTCTCATACTTTCATACAATTCGGAATAGTTTAGGAAATTCAGATTTCAATCAATGTTATATGAGCGTAAAACTGGCTAAGTCTGTATGCTTAGGGCGATTGGCACGTTCATCTGATGTATTAACTGAATCTTTTTAGGAACAATGACTCTTTTTTCTTTAATAGATATCATCATGAAGTGTTGATTTAGGTATGTTCAACTTAATACTTTGCCGGGCAATCGATGTTTTGGGGCTTATGATGCAGAATATTGTTGGATTTCTTCGACTATGTAATCGCTTGTTTTTAGCCGGCCAGTAGAATGTCTTTTCAAAACACTACGGTGTCATAAAACTCATTAAACCAGCGTCAAACTTCTTTATCATCAAGTAGATTTAAATTTAGTTTAAGCACAGACAATATAATACTTTAATGCAGACGGTCAGCTGGATCTGCGCTAGGCGCTGTTTCATGATGCGGCTGTATTGCCGCGCCACTGTAGCGGAAGACGCGAAGCGTTTCCTCCTCGAGTGGCGCCGTGGGATTCTATTTGAATTTGAATGAACGCGCTTTTAATGAGATATTTCTCGAAACCTATTTAAGATATCTTTATGAAACTTGGTATACAGTTTTAATACGTCATAATGTATTTAAGGAAAAATAATCATAAAAAAATATGATCCTGTTTCAAAATTGCTGTGTTTTAGCGAATTTCCCATACATAGAATAAGCTATTACCGTAGTACTTATCGTAAGACCTGGACCTGGGACCGATTTATTTTTCGTTTTGAGGTCCCTTGAGTCAAAAATCACCAACCGTTCAAATTCATATAAAGTGTGTAAATAAAGTCTTGAAATAGATCTGTATTTTTTAAACCGAGATAGATTAAAATACTATAGTTGTGGCATTGAATGTTAACAAAGGTTCCGTTTTTTTACATCAAAAATATTGTTAACCCCCCTAACATGGTAGGCGGGGGTAAGGGTGACTTATTGTTTTCAAATAGCAACCCCTATTGAGTGACTCCTCATTTTGAAGGATTTATCGAAAGAAACATAATGACGCAAACCCTTGGCGGATATCTCACCCCTAGCCAAAATGACAGGTATTTCAAAATGCGATTTAATGTATGTGAAAAAGCACCAATTTCAAAAATATAAAAACAAATCTGTATTTGTAAAACCGAAATGATAGAAATATTCTGTTTGTCAATTTAATTGTTAACATAGGTTCCACAATTTTTTACATCAACAATATTTGTTAACCCCTTTAACAGGGTAGGGGTGGGGGATCGAAAACTATTTAAGGTATAAATTTGAAATAAAAACTTCACCAATATTTCTGAATTTATTGGTGAAGTTTTTATTTCAAATTTATATTAATTCCAATATTACCAGTTATTCTTGAAGATATTTAAGATATGTTTATAAAACTTGGTATACAGTTTTAATACGTTATAATGTATTTAAGAAAAAATAATCATTGAAAATATGTTTCTGTTTCAAAATACGGGTATTTTAAACTTTATATCTTTAATTACAAAAAACCTGCTGATTTTATGAAAAAAAGCCATGGACACTTTTATTTAGCATTTAAAATACCCTATCAAACGCCACCAAGTTTTAAACGATCCCATTACAAACAGCTGAGAAATGAGGATATTTAGTTGAACAGGTCAGGTACCTGTTTCATAATAAACACCGCACTACAAGACTACAGGTTAAAAGTTGTGACTTGTAATTTCCATTATTTTTGCAATTTTGAGGTGTGAAAAAGTGTCAACAAGTATGGACTTTGAAAATTTTCTTGGTAACTGTTATAAAATATAAAATAATATATTTTATATAAAATAATGTTATAAAATAATAAAAAATAATGTTATTAAAATAATGTTATTTTAAAATAATGTTATAAAATAACATTATAAAATATAAAATAATGTTATTTTTTTTAATTTTTTGATTTTTTTATGTTGTAATATCGTTCATAATCACAAGTTGACACCCAGGTAGTGTGCCAGAATTTAGACAGTGTTGCCATATCTCAAGCCGTTTTCGAGATATAAGTGTTTTTAAACAGTTTAATGGGCTCAGAAAATTTTGAGGTGTGGAAATATATATTTTCCTACAGTTACCTAACAATGTACATGTTCTCTCACTGATTTGAGAAAGCAAAGTGGCCAATTCGCTCATCAGTGAGACAATGTTAACATTGTCTCACTCCAGATTTGCAACGTGAAGGCGCGAAATAGTGAGCACGTAACATGCAGGCAACGTCGTATGCGCGCGAAATACGTTGGCAGCACTGGCTGTAAATCAGCTGGTCAGCTGTTGTACTGTTGTATTTGTCACTTCACATTAAATGTTATATTAAAAGTTCACTGTGCAAAAATAGGTTATGTTTCTTCATAAATTATGGTAACAAATTATGGTTTTATGGTAACTGTAGGAAAAGTATAATGTGCAACTCGAGTTCAAAGTACAATTGCCTCACTCGAGAAACCATTCCTCACTCACCTACGGCTCGTGAGTAAGGATTTCTCTCGAGTGAGTCAATTGCTCACTTTTCTCACTAGTTGCACAAATAACTATTTCTTGGAAAAATATTATCTGTCTGTCTATAACACCCAAGATGGAATTTTACGCCATCTTATCCAGGAAAACGAGAGTACCTATCAAGATCCAAGTCATTTTTATATATTCACTGGATTGGCGAGAGTGTCTTTAGCCATTAAAATATGGCCTCACTACTTTGTAAATAAAATTACGGACGATCATATTTTAATCGCTAAAGACACTCTCGCTAATCCAGTGAACACATTAAAATGACTTGGATTTTGATAGGTACTCTCGTTTTCCTGGAGAATATTGCGTAAAATGCCATCGTGAGTTTTACAGACAGACAGTAGACAGACAGACAGACAGACATAAATAGAGATAAGACTTGTTTCAGCTTCTTTAATGTATAAAACGTAAAAATAACCTAAAAATATATAATTCTGAGCAATGTACAGACAAAACTCTAATTTTATGTATATAG